ACCACAAGACTTTGCTTTGTTAAATCCTCCACTGTGTTCACTTCACTCTAAACCTTTCGAGTTGTACTGTCAAGATTGTAAAACTCCAATTTGCATTCATTGCACATTCATAAACCACAAAGTGTGGGAAGGGAAGCACAAAACAATCAGCATATCAGATGCATTCCAAACATTTAAAGAAACTTCATCAACATTAGAAAAAGCTGCCCAATGCTGCAAAGATATGTTAGAAGAAGGCCTTGAAGCAGTTATTCAAACTGCTACAAAATTAGATGAAAGTAGAAAGACAAGTTTGCAAGATATTGACAGGCTTGTGCAGGAAATGATTAAAACAATCATGAATAAAGCAGACGAAATGAAAAAAAAATGTAGAGATAATGTACAAACTGAAAAAGCAAGTAAATGATGTACAAATGGATGAATTGAAAACAATAATATCTGAAGTAAATACAAAATTAAGTTTTCTTAAACAGTTGTTAAAGAGTGATGAAGCAACAGTGATGCAATCAAGTGAAACAGTAATTAAAGCACTGGAGGACAGAGTCAATGAAATGCCCAAAACAGAGCCAAATGATAGATGTGAGTGTTGATGGCAAACCGATCAAGCAGTCACCAATGATAATCAAAGTACAACCAGAAGGATTATTTAATACCATTAAATTGTTCAAAGACAAGAATAATGAATTCGGAAGCCTAGTAAAATTTGAAGAGTGCTTGTTGGTTTCATGTCGGACTAATGAAATTCTGAAGTATATGCAATCAAGAGAATATATTGGTAAGGTTACACTACCACAAGATGTGAAAATATTTAAAATGTGCAAAATGAAGAATGGTAACATAGCAGTCAGTGATGAAGGCAATGGATGCATCACAATAGTTAAGATGAATGGTGAGGTGATCAAATCAATTGGTCAGGAAATATTGGGTGATCCAGGTGGGATCCATGTGGATGAAGCATCAAATGCTGTGTATGTAGCTGATTGGGAATATAAATGTGTGTACATGTTTGATATTGATAGTGGCCAGCTGATCAAAAAATTAGCGTCACCAAACAATAGAACAGGAGTCATTGATGTTACCCTTACAAATCAAGGACATATTCTTGTATTAGAGAGTGATGTTGATAAGTCTTGCTACAATAAAATATATCAATTTGATGATAAAGGAAGGTTGATAAAAGTGCTTGTCAAAGGTGATGAAAATGAGGCACTGGGTTTTCGAGAAGTATTAGTTGATGAGGATGACAACATCATTTTAGCAAGTTATGGAAAAATACAGCTTTTCAGTAGTGATGGAAATTTAATTTTATCAAAAGAATTGATAAACCAGAAGACAGAATCGAATGTCCAAGTGGATTATGCTTAATTTCGCAACATCCACGGAGAATTGCAGTGATAAATAATGACACTATAAATTTATATAATTACTGAGGTGTATTCAGTATTGGGTCCAGGAATTTGAAAAAGAGAGGCCCAGGGAGGGACTTCGGATGAAGGGTATATACAACCTTAGTCCCACCATGGTTGAGAGGGGAGGTATACAAAGATATGATTATGGCACCCTGAGTCTTTTATCCCCATTTTTTTAATCTCAAAAAGTTTAGGGAACAGGGCCTGCGGGGTATGATATGTCGCACCATGGTTGTATGACTTTGACTGACGGATCTGTTTCCTTTATTATATACCGTACTTAATTCCTAGGAATCTGTAGCAAATCTTATGGGGAAGAGGGTGATGTAGGGAGAAGAGAAAGGATGTGGTAAGAATGTGAAGGGAACCTATCTAAGTTTTAAACTACTGGAGCATCACTATTTGCTCAACAAGTTTTTTAGTATGGCGAAGGTACCTATAAAAGGAAGATACCAGATGGGACCACACATTTCAAAGGGGAGGGGGGCTTCCTATACCACTGATAGGGATGATTTCTTTTCTCTATGGTAACACATTGTATTGTAATGCAACGAGGTCTGTGTTATGGAGGGGTGTTATTCAGTAACTATGTCCAGTAAGCCTATATTTTGGGTTCAGGACATTATATATTTTTTTTCATAAGGTATTCATTTCTATTTTGTAATGCCATATGGACATGGTTTAGAAATAACTTTTATTAAGATTTTAAACTATGGCCAGATTCATTCTAAGGCACCACAAAGCAGTGCTTGTACCACACTGTATGGTGACCTTGGATGGCCAAAACTTGAACTTATTGGCAATGATACAAAATTTGAAAAAAATGATGGAGTGTGGGTGTATACCTCAGCCCCATCATGGTTGGGGCTGAGGAAAGAAATTTGTTGATTTTGGCACCTCTAGATGGCTGGAATAATTTTCTTTTTTTACTTTTCGAAAAAAATTATTTCTTTTCTCCATGATTATATTTAATGAAAATAATGTTGTACTACTGTAGGTCTATGTTATTCATTAACTATGTACAGTATGCCTATATCATGGGCTTGAGATTTTATTATTATATTATTTTTATATTATTTCTTTTCCATAATGCCACATGGACATCGTTCAGAAATAAAAGTTTAATTTTAAACACAGATACTGAATAGTCCTAGTACAACATTATTTGCATGTCGCATTAAAATACAATAATGGAAAAAATAAATAATTTTTTTTCGAAACGTCAAAAAAGAATTAAATTTTCACAATTTAATTTGAAATATTTCTTTCACATTAGACAGAAGCAACTTGCCTAGAATAGGATGGAATGATGCTTTGTATATGGTATGTCTATGCTGTTTATTGAGTGGGGCTGTTTTTGGTCATTAGGAACACTCTGCAATGCCAGGGTTCAAACCTACACCTATTAGTATCCTGGGATTGGAAGGCAAGCATCTTAACTATCAAGCTATTCAGCTCAACCTAATACTTAACTTTATACAATTGCAGTACTTAAAATACAGATGCTAATAGAATTTGAATAGTATAATAAAATTATACTCGCCTGAAATAATAATACCAGTAAAATTACAGTAGTAAAATTACAGTACAGTAAAATAGGTTTAGGTAATGTTATAGTCTTACAAAAAATATAATATAGGTTTACATTAACATTAGTAGAATTTATAGTGGATTATATTTGTACTACGTACAGTTGTTTTAAATGACCAAAATATAATTCTGATCATTTAAGAATTTTGCTGCATCTATTTAATTCATTTTGTAAGTTGTGAGTTCCTATACAAAGTTACATTATCCAATACAATAAGCAACAATACACTGTCATGGTTTTTCTTAAATTGCCTTTCATAAACCGTTTCATACAGTAGCTGGATATGCAGGGTCAGTCTCTGAACATTTGTTATTATAATTAATAATAATAATAATAATAATAATAATAATATTAATAATAATAATAATAATAGTGATAATAATAAGAGTAATTATAAAAAGGATGATGATGATGATTAATTAATTTATTTATTACAAATTTGTCACAAATAAAATATAAATAGAGCTGGAATGTGACTCAACCACTGGATTATGATGATGATGATAATAATAATTAAGATTACCATAACAAGAATAGGAGGATGATGATGATGACTGTAATAATAATAATAATATACTACAGACAGGAAGGCCTTAAAATATACTGAGCTCAGTTATGTTGGAAACAAAGCCTAATAAAACAGTGGAGAGGGGACGAGGACAAGGATGTTTTCTGATCAAGGCATTGAAAAATATTTATTGTTTATAAAGTAGTAGAATTTATGTATTAAGGTAACAGTTAAGGCAAGCAAGGTATGCAGTGCATACCCTGGCTCAAAAAAATATTTAAAAAAATAGTAGCACAGTTTTTCCACTTTATTTCAAATTTTTTAGTCAGAATCTTCTATATAAACCTTAATTTTTCAAGTGGATTGCTACAGTTCATTGGAAAAGCAAAGTTTGCCAATATTGCCTACTTTGGTATCTAGGATAAGTCACAGTCGGACCTATCGCACCGTACTCTCAGATTAGAATTTCCGCATGGCTGGTTTTCAATATCAGCCAATCATGTATTCAGTGAGTCAGAGCATTCTACAATGCTTAAATTTACTATTGTGTGGTGGCCAATTTAACACTGGAATGGAAGCGGTGCTTCAAAGAGTATGTGCGCATGCAGATCTTCTTCTCACAAATCGGGACCTCCACTGAGAAGATACTACAACCATGCAGATATTGAAAATAACATACATTTTATTTTAATATAGAACACAATCCGATTCTGTATAGTAGTAGGCTTACAAACTTTTCCTACTAGCAGTCCCAAGCATCAGTGGCGTAGGGGGGTCTTGAAATGGGAGGGAGCTGGGTGATGGGAAGGTAAAGTGGGGGATCGGTGATTAGGTGAGGGGAGCTAACTCACAAAATCAGGCGATTTAAGGTGATTTTTAACTACTTAAACATGATTTGTAGGCGGGGGGTGTAACTGGGAAATGGCGAGTATTGTTTTTCGCAGGGGGGGTGGTGGGGTGATAAAATCGTTTCACACAACTCAATAGTTGACATAATCATTTTACTAGAGATAGCTCATTAAACTTTCGCATCCCACATGTTAAACATCCCAACAATACAACATTTTATTATACAGCAATCAAACAATGAACTCACTACCATCATACATAAAACAATCAACATCACTCAATGTATTTAAAATAAAATTAAAGCATCACCTTGATAAAAAATTCTCTAATATTGCATATAGTCTATAACTTGTATATGCTGTAGCTTGGGTAAACGCTGTTGGTGGGTCTTCATTTTTTATTAATTGTTTTATCTTGTACATCATATACTACTTCTTTCGTCTGTCTCCGTTTTTGTTTCTATGTGATATTTTAGGACCACGTTTGAAACACTGGTTCTTCTCAAATTTCACGGGTTATCCTGGCATTAATATCTGTTTTTGTTTGTTAATATCAATTTTTTAAAGTGGTATATGATGTTCAAGTAACTCCAATTTATTTTTGATAAATGAATATTTTTATAACTTTTTGTTTGTTTTCTGAATTTGTGGTTTTTAATATTTTTTTATGACATTTTTCACTATTGTATTCTTGTATTTTGATATAATTTTGTACTTCTGTATATTTTAATGTAATGCCGAAAAAAATGAAATGAAATGAAAAGATTTGCCAAATACCTAGCATACCCTGTAATATAACCGACAGTCAGCCACTGATTGTAATAGGATTTTAACTGTACACATACATGAATATATCAATACAAAAAGTTAGTATCATCAATACCTGATCAACTGCACAAAAATACTGCCATCTATTGTGTCATATAGAACAGTAAGTGGAAAAACCCAACATTGTTGGGAGAGATATTAGAAACGCTGCTACGGCACTTGTCAGCAATAAACAAGGAATTGAAAGGTAATAAAAATTCAATAATTAGAGTTGTTATAAAATTTGTATCTATAACATCAAGAGGACTACTATAGATAATGATAAAGTAAATAATTATAGTCAAAATTTTCAAAAAAATTAATCAAAAAAATCTTCTTTCTAGATCAGAGTTCTGCACAATACACACCTACAGACTGGTATTAAAATCCCAAAATCTAAAAGTAAACAGACAAGGGAACTGGGTATTGGTAATGCACTTAAATTTCCAAAAAGGTTACATGTACAGTATGTCAAAGTCCCAGCCTCAGCTAAGTAGCTAAGTCCAGTGGCGGGGCAGGGGGGCTTAAGTCCCCCACCGGACAGGTCAAGCCCCCCCTCGCCGGACAGAGCTTGTCGGGCAGTCAGACCATAAAACATATAAAAATAAGCCCACACCAAGCCAACACGTCTGTCACTGTCCGAGAGTGCCATTTTCGGCCATCCAGAGGTTATTCTTTAAAAAAAATCTCATTTGGGAGGGAGAACCCCCTCTCAACCCCTTCTCACAGCTTGAGCCCATGAGCTCAAGTCCCCCTGTCGGACAACTTAGCCCCCCTAGAAAAAATATCCTAGAGCCGCCACTGGTTAAGTCCCTGCCCTATCCCATATCATCAAAGCTTAATTTTCCACGGGATTTTAGCCAAGTTTTTTGCTAAACTAAGTGTCAAACCTACAGTAGAGATCGCAAGCGGACAAAACTGCGGTCTTATTCACCATCGGGAACTAGAACAATTTTAATTTAATTAGGTTATGGCCATAATAGCTAAAACAATCCCAAAATGCCGTTTTCTTGGCCCAGTGCGGCATAGCCTCCTTAAATCAGCACATTTGTGTTCGAACCTACCAGGTACCCACATGTACTCCTGGGTGGAGAGAGGCAACTGTAGATAAAGTGCCTTGCCCAAGGACACATGTGGTTAGCACCGCGAGAGTTTCGAAACCCCCGACCTTGAGGATGGGAATCCAAGCCACAACCGATGCGCCAACTGCTTCTACCAAATAAAACCTTAGCATCAACCATAATTGTGGGTCTGTGACGTTATCATCCATTCTGTGGCCCTCTATTTTGTGTTGCTCCTATGTATTATTTTAACAAAAAATTCAATGTGGCAGGTCTTATCATCATCACCGCATCGTTATTATCATCACCATCAATATCATCACCAATATCATCACCAACATCATCACCACAATTATCACTATCACCATAACCACTATCACTGCCGCCACAATCACCATCTTCACATCATCACCATCGATATTAAAAGCCCCAGTAATATTACATTAACCATTTAAATTATTACTAATTTACAGAATTATATCAAGATGGCTACAAGTAAACTTAGTCAGTTTCTGGAAGATATTGATATGAAAGTCTTAGAGTGTGCCATATGCTTGAAGAGACTCCAGAATCCAAAATCTCTCAACTGCTTGCATAGTTTTTGTTTGGCCTGTCTGGAAGACTGGGTTAAGAAGAAGGGTAAGCTGACTTGCCCAACTTGCACAAAATCATTTCCCATTCCAGAACGCGGGCTTCAGAAACTTCCACCAAACACATTTCTGAATAACTTGTTAGAAACCCTTCAACAATATGATAAACCTGCTGGTGATCACATCACAAAATGTGTTTGTGGAAAAGCAGAAGAATACTACTGCCAGTATTGCAGACATTACTTGTGCTCTTCTTGTAGAGATTATCATAAACTGATGCCAATGTTGGCAAATCACAAGCTACATGCAGTGGAGGATGTGCGCTCAATGACACCACAAGACTTTGCTTTGTTAAATCCTCCACTGTGTTCACTTCACTCTAAACCTTTGGAGTTGTACTGTCAAGATTGTAAAACTCCAATTTGCATTCATTGCACATTCATAAACCACAAAGTGTGGGAAGGGAAGCACAAAACAATCAGCATATCGGATGCTTTCCAAATATTTAAAGAAACTTCATCAACATTAGAAAAAGCTGCCCAATGCTGCAAAGATATGTTAGAAGAAGGCCTTGAAGCAGTTATTCAAACTGCTACAAAATTAGATGAAAGTAGAAAGACAAGTTTGCAAGATATTGACAGGCTTGTGCAGGAAATGATTAAAACAATCATGAATAAAGCAGATGAAATGAAAAAAAATGTAGAGATAATCTACAAACAGAAAAAGCAAGTAAATGATGTACAAATGGATGAATTGAAAACAATAATATGTGAAGTAAATACAAAATTAAGTTTTCTTCAACAGTTGTTAAAGAGTGATGAAGCAACAGCGATGCAATCAAGTGAAACAGTAATTAAAGCACTGGAGGACAGAGTAAATGGAATGCCCAAAACAGAGCCAAATGATAATGGGAAATTTTTTTTTTTTGCAAACAAACACCACATTGCTTCTTTGCAGCAATCTGACATAGGAATAATAAAAACGAAAAGGAAGGCGGCAGAGCCTCTGACATTAATGGGAGTGGTGCCTGCAAGCCAAGGTCAAAATAGTTTTGCAAAAGTAATCAAAACAGATGAATGTGATATAGACGCAAATAAACTGAAGGCAACATTATTTGATGAAGCGGACAATGGAGGATATGTTGTGACAGGAAAATGCATAAGTCTAGGTGTTTGCAGACTAGATATGAGTGTTGATAATGAACCACTTACACATTCACCAATGAAAATTAAAGTGGAACAAGAAAGATTAGTGAATACTATTAAATTAGACAAAGACATGGATTACTATGGCCTCGTTAAGTGTGAAGATGGATCGTTGCTTGTCTCATGTCAGAAAAATGAAATACACAAGTACAAACAATCTGGGGAGTATATTGGTAGGGCTACACTACCACAAGGTGTGGAAATATTCAAAATGTACGAAATAAAGAATGGTAGCATAGCAGTCAGTGATGAAGGCAATAATTGCATCACAATAGTTAACATGAATGGTGAGGTGATCAAATTAATTGGTCAGGGAATACTAGAGAATCCAGCTGGGATACATGTGGATACAACATCAAAAAGTAATGTTGTGTACATAGCAGATTTTGCAAATAAATGTGTTTTTATGTTTGACATTGCTAGTGGCCTGATGATCAGAAGAATAATGTTATCCGGAGGCAGTATAGGAGTCATCGATGTTACAGTTACAAATCAAGGACATATTCTTGCAGTAGTGAGAGATTTTGAGTCTTCCATCGACCGATTACTACAATTCGATAACAAAGGAAGGTTCATGAAAGTGGTCAAAGATTATAAACATGATACTAATACTATAGTGGGTTATCCAGAAGTAGTAGTTGATGAGAATGACAACATCATTATCGCAAATTATGCAAGCCTACAGGTTCTTAGTAGTGATGGAACATTTATGAAAAGAATTGATAAACCAGAAGATGGAATAAACAATCCATTTGGAGTATGCTTAATCTCACAGAAACCACGGAGGGTTGCAATAGCAAACAATGGTGACAAGACTATAAAAATATATAATTACTGAAATAGTGTTAAGTGTACTATTGATAGTAGATAATGGTGATAGACAGTCGATTGATAACAGACAAATTAATTTTTGCAAACAAACACCACATTGACATTGACATTTAAAGAAGGTGGAATATCTGTGACACAAGGCAGACCTGCCAACTCACTCGATCCTGTCGGGTGTCACCTGATATTTAAACAAATCTTCAGTTCTTCCATTCGAATGTAATTTTCACCCGATTTCACAGGCCACCCCCTCCGCAAAAATACTCCGTTTTATGCATAATTTGATTGATTTGATCATTATTATTCAATGTATACGCCGTCTGCTCGTTTCGCAGTGCAACAAACAAGCAGCCATTTTCAATTCGAATGTCACCACCAACGGCCAATGATTTGTAGTGACGTGACTTTTTTGGTATATCTTGCATCATCTTTTGGTTAATTCTGGAAACCTCAAGATTTTTTGGTAAATCTCCAGATTTTTTTATGATTCTTAAAAAATCTCCAGATTTTCATGACCCAAGGGTTGGCATGTCTGCACAAGATCAAGTAATTGTTGCAAACATAAACTAAAGCACATAGATGTAGATGAAAATCAACCAAAGGCAACAAGAACACATACTGCAGGAGAAACCAACATCACTCAAGTTGATAAGATTACAATGGAAATTTTATTAGAAATCATACACTAATGTTTATCGAGCTTTGAAGTATAAATGTGTAAAATTATACTATTTAAAGATCAATATATATATCCTTGATTGTAAGAAATTCTGTGCAAATTTGTTGTCATTCTCTTGCTGTTCAGGTTCCATGGCGAGCACATCATTATATTACACTGTGTTACAGTGTTGAGTTTCAGGGTTCAATAAAGTTGTGCATATATCTTTGTACATTTCGTGGCAAATACATAAAAAAATGGCGACTAGCAGTAGCAACTTTTGAGTCTGAAAAAGCTACTTTTTGAACGGACGGGAGCTCGGATTTTGGTCACTGAGGGGACTCGTTTTCGTTTTCATTGGATGGTGTGTTGAATGCCATTTTGCCCTTTTGGAATTTTGGAACCGGTGGTGTTGAGCATCCAAGGCCTAGGAATGTCTACGAAGTTAAGTCTCGGAGAGTTGGGACAGTTTACTAATACAAATGAAGATAAAATTAAGGGATTCAAAGCTGATATCAGAGCATAGAACCTGTCTTTATTAAAGCACGCCATATTTCTTATGCTCAGGTTGATAAGGTCCATGATGAATTACAACGGTTAGGAAAATCAGGAATTATTAAGAAGGTTAAGTACAGCCCATGGGCATCAGCCGTAGTTGTTGTTAATAAAGCCGACACATCCATTCGACTTTGTGGTGATTATAAACAAACTGTAAATAAGGTAGTTGAACAAGACACATACCCATCCTACTGCAGAATATACTTACTCACAATCATCATCGGGGAGAATATTTAGTAAGATAGAGTCAGCGTATCTGCAGTTGAAATTGACTGAAAGTTCCACAACACTCTTAACAGTTAATACTGAAAAGGATTTGTGGCAATACCAAAGATTACCTTCTGGGGTATCAATAGCCCCAAGGATTTTTCAGAATGTGATGGATAAAATGTTAAACAGATTAGGTGGTGTATGTTGCTATCTAGATGACATCCTAATCAGGAGTCTTGATGATGTTAGATGAAGTGTTGGGTAGGAGTCTTGATGATGTTAGATGAAGTGTTGGGTAGACTGGCCCAGCATCTTAGATGAAGTGTTGGGTAGACTGGCCCAGCATCCAGTGGCGTAGAAAAATATTTTTCATT